CCCAAAAGTGTTTGCAGAAAGAGGTATACGACAGGCTAGTAAAACCAAGTGGCGAACGTGGGACGTCGTTACAACATGCTGTATTGTTGGAGCATCTGAAGTAGTCTCCTCCTGCTCTGGTTTTCCCAAAAGTACACTTTAAATATTTTATGATAAATGAGTCACGCCCTGGAACTTTAGGACTAGCTTCAAAAACAGGTTGGATGAATACAGAGTGCTTTGTGCAAGTGGTTAGGCATTTTATTAAGCACACTGGTAGTTCCAGAGAGAACCCTTCTTTATTGCTAATTGATAATCATCAAAGTCATTTATCGATTGAGGCAATCCATTTATGTAAAAATAATGGCGTTACAATCCTAATTATACCACCACACTGTACGAACAGATTACAGCCGTAGGACGTAGGTATCTAACCATCCCGGTCAGACATTTACAATTTATAACGTAGCAGCCTGTGTAGGCACAGCACATCCACGAGCAATGACGCCAGGTAACATCACAAGCGCTTTTCGAAAAACCGGAATATTTCCATTCGATCAGCATGTCTTCACCGAAGAAGATTTTTTGTCAAGTTTTGTGACAAATAGGCCGCTTGTTGCAGATGAAGCTGCTGCTGAAAAGATAATTGAATCTCCAGATGTAGAAAATACAGGTCCAAGTAATACTGCTACTACTACTAAACCCTTAGTTTTTAAGGGTTATCCTAAAGCTCCGACAAGAAAATCTGGGAAGGGCAGCAAAAGTCGCAAAGCAAGGACGATGACAGCTGTGGATACCCCGGAAAAATGGAGCTGATTAAATCTAAAGAAAAAATACCAAAACAGAAAAAAGTAGCAAGGAGCGTATTAGATAGTGATTCTGACGAGCAAGACGAAAATGAGATGGAATTACAAGATTCCAGTGGAAAAGGGGATTTTATTGATGAAGATCTAGAACCAATTATTTTCGAAGATCTTGATCGCTGTCCAACTGATGGGAATTATATGCTAGTTGAATTCAACTTTAAGCAAAAGAATATTATGTAGGCAAAGTCTTGTCTCAAATAAAAGAAAATGATTTTAAAATATCGTTTTTAAGAAAAAGCGCTAAATGTGAAAACAGGTTCTTCTTTCCAATGGTACCAGATGTCACACATGTATTAAAAAGAGACAATAGAATGATTTTGCCGCCCTCTTTAATGCAAGGGTTAACCAAGCGCCAAAGTTCGCTTTTAAAATTTGAATTAAATTTTGATAATCTTAAGGTTAAATAATGTTAATTGTTACGTCTCAGTGTTCTCACATTGAAAGGAACAGTGAGACATTTAGTAATTTTTAATTTTAATATTTTTGAGGTTTTAACTTTAACTTTGATCAGAAAACGACATGATTTTTTAGTTCTTATTCATATACTAAATATCATTGTAATGATATCATAGTAAGTTTAAAGTAGCGTTTAATAAAAAAATTATTGTCATTAAAAGTTTTCTGTCTCAGTGTTCCCACCACTCCCCTACTAACGCCCCATCTCTCAGACGGCATCGCCACCGCATCGCTTGTCGATGTACCTATCTAAAAAATTTTGAAGGTCGCCCGTTTATAACTTTAGTTGGGTGGTTATTTATTAGTATTTTGATCGGCAGTTTGCTGCAGGTTGTTATTCCAAAGATATTTAGATTCAAAGTGTGAATTCCGTCTAATAGACGGGTTGTTAGTGTTCGTATTTATTTACTATTTACCCGAAAATGGATGAGGGACCCAGTACGTCAAAAAATCTCAAATATGGGGATCAAAACTATGAGAAAACTCTTTTGAAATGGCTTGATCAGGTAGATGACGACATAGGCGAAGTTGCATCAATTTGTGATGAAAATGTTAGTATTGATAGCGATCACGAAACGGAATCGGAAATAGGGGGTAAGTCAAATCTCTTGGAATTATTATGTATGTATTGTACTAAAGTTCGGTGTTACTGTAGTATGCGGTCTACCTCGATGGTGCGATCTACCTGATGCACAAAATAATGAGATGCAAGAAAAATCTCATAGAAAAAATTATTTATTCACAAGTAATAAACATTTGGACCAAAACCAATGTAAAATAAAATGAAAGTAAATCTACCAGGTAATGTTATTTGAAAAGAGGAGTTCATATTTGTGTATACCCTGGGAAAAGATTAGGGTGTTATTTGCATATTAGTAAAGAAACTAAATTTGCATAGTTTATTTTATATTCCTAAATAATAGTAGTATAAGTGTTTATTGTACTTAGCAATAAACAGTTCGTCTACAAATGTGCCTTTCTTTATTGTTTGCAAAACCTTCTGAGAAAACAATGTGGTGATTAGCCGCACATATATACAATACCTACCAAAAAAAAAAAAAAATCTTTACAAAGTGAATAAAACGCATAATGTAGAAGAATTATTTATTGAAAGTATTGATTTGAAAAATTAAAATAGAAATTCTGATGATTTATGCGTTTTATTCACCTTGTAAAGATTTTTTTCTCGAATACAGCGTATACACCACATCCCTGGGTAGACCGTAAGCTATAGTAGAAATGCGACGGTAGACTGCATAGTATAGCATTACCCAAAGTTCTCTTTTTAGTTTCAGAAAATGAAAATGAGGTAAAAGAGGCTTATAGACAAGATAATGTGGACCAAAGAAGTGAAGAAGATGTTCCAGAGGAGACAAGGAATTATTTCTATAATAGACATATATGCAAATGGTCAAAAAATCCTTCCAGTTTAAATAGAGTTCGGCGTCCACAGAAGAATATCGTTTTACAGTTACTTGGATTACGCATTGCAGCTGAAATTGGAGATAGTGCAGACCCTTTGCAGGTTTGGAAGTTATTATTCAGTGATAATATTTGCAACATAATTCTTAGATGGACGAATGTAAAAATTGGCAAAGAAACAGCCAAGTACAAAAGTCCAAATTCACCTTCTCTCAAAGACCTTGACGTGACAGAACTTCACTCATATTTGGGATTTTTAGCATTTACATGCTTATTTAAATCGAACAATGAAAGCTTTGATACTATTTTTGCTACCAATGGAACTGGTAGAGAAATAATGAGATGCATCATGTCAAAAGAGAGATGTGCGTTCCTTTTATCATGTTTGCGATTTGACAATCCCGAAGACATAAATGAGAGAACAGTGTCGGATCCAGCAGCACCGATTTCAGAAATTTTTAGTGAATTTATTAACAACTGTCAGGCATGCTATACTATAGGAACTTCAGCCAGTATTGATGAAACGCTAGTGGGATTCAGAGTTCGATGTCGCCTCAAAATGTACATACCGAGTAAGTATGGTATAAAAATTATGTGGTGTACTGATGCGCTTATATATATATATATATATATATATATATATATATATATATATATATATATATACGGGAAAAAATTTTGACGGTACTGGACTTGCAGAGGAACAGAAAAGATACAGAAAACCGACACAGGCTGTTACGCGCTTAACTACTCCTCTCTATGGGACCGACAGATCTATAACCTTTGACAACTTTTTACTTTGAGAAGTAAAGATCTAACTTGCATTGGAACTTTCCGCAAGAATCGTAAAGAAATTCCTCCAATCTTCTTACCCTCCAGACGACGAGAAGTGGGAACGACAATTTCCGATTTTACAAAACACATTACTTTACTTTCACACACAACACATAAAAATAAAGCCGTAATTTTGGTATCATCATCTCATCACGCAGCCACCGAGGATACAGACACTAAAAAACCAGACATAATAGTGGATTATAATTCAACAAAGGGTATTGTCGATTCAATGGACGAAAAATGTGCCAAATTTTCAAGCAGTCGTCGAACTCGCCGTTGGCCTATGGCTATGGCTTTTAAAAATAATACTCATTTAGAAAGGCCCAGTTTTATTGAAAAACGGCACGTCGAATGCAAATTATAGATCCCCTTGCCGACTAATTCATCAATCTGTCTGCTTTGCAAGTTTTAGAAATCACTATGGTAAAGGTTTGAATTCAGTTTCGCCTTGTAGGAAATCTTAGAATTCCTAGTGTTATTGTAGGATGGTTAAGTAAAATCAAGGTTAGAAAATATTAAATTATCAGCCACAGACAAGGGTATATAGAGGCAATTTTTTATTTTTATATTTTGACGATGACTAGTATGTTGGAAAGTAAAAACTTTAACAAAAATCAGTTTTGAAATTTCAATTCCAAACATTACTCATTTGATTTATCAATATTTAACTAAGGATGATATTTTTTATTGAGGTAGATGAATACTTTTAAAAAATTCATACTTAAAAATTAAGGTAATCACCTACTTGCGTACATTTTTTTTTATTTTGGAACTATATAATAAAAATCTATATAATAAAACTCTAATTATATCAATGTTTTATTTTAAAAATGGACCAGTTAGTGACGAACATTAATAAATAATATCTTAAGTGGTACTCACAATATTTGTGCATTTAACTAGAGAGTTATAACGTTAAGATATTTTAAAAAAATTTGTACGTGATTGAATTTCATTCGTTGTGCGGTATTGTTAACGCAAGTCAACAATTTAATAAAAAATTGGTTCTTAAAGTTGGTCCCTTTTATCAAAACTTATTACCAATAAAATTTTATTCCGTATCGTAGGTGGTGTGCGTACTTACAAGAAATAAATTGGAACTAATTAATAGATTAATTTGATTAATAATATTGAATTATATGCTATAACCTTTGTTAATATTAGTTTACTATTCCTAAATTATTGGGGAAATATAATTGTATTTTATTTCTTGCTTTTCTTCTTGTTTGGTTCAAAAGTAAAATTTTTAGAAATGTGGACATTTATATATTTCATAAAATCTGTACATAACATAAACATAAATAAAACAGGAAAAAAGTTAAGTTTATTTAAAAATAATTATTGTGATGGTCAAATATTTGTATTACAAAGACTTGCTTTGTTATTGTTTTATTGTTATTGTTTATTCATCAAAACACGCTCAATTACTTCTACTTCCAGATATGGGTCAGAACAGTGAACTTATCCCGGGCCCAATCTTATAAAGCTCATACTATTCACACTAGCAAGAACTTAATTATTTAACAGGAAACATGAGAAAAAAACCGTCTCTCATCGAGTTTTAGCACGGAAGAGGTTAAAACGGCTTCTTCTAGTGCTGTCTCCACTAATGAAGGTAGTCTATAACTATTGCAAATTCGTATCTATCTTCAGCTTTTCTTAAGAGCATCTATGTGGTTAACCTGGTTCAGTCGCGAACGTTTTTCAGCCAGGATATTTGTAGGACCCCCTTTTCCTTTGATTTTACCCTACATAATCAGCTGTAAGAACTCGTACTTATCATTTTTAAGTATGTGCCCCAAATATGCATTTAATGGCGGTCAAAAGTTTTCTGTCACTTTCCATTCTGTGCAACACTATTTCTTTTAGAATATGTTCGGTCCATGATATCCTCAAAATTCTAGTAAAAAGCCACATCTTAAAAGCTTCCAGTTTTCTCATTAAGTCAACATTAACAGTCCAGATTTCGACACCATAAAGCAGAATAGAGTGGATATAACATTTTACCATCTGATATCGGATTTGCAGATTGAGTCTTTGGTTACTCAGAAATTTCCTCATCTTCAAAAGGGCTACTCTTGATTGCTATATTCTTGACCGAATTTCTGATTTCGGAATCAGATCTTTCGTAATCCAGACTTCTAAGTGGTCTTGGTCAAAAATCTTGTCGGAACAAAGGTCGATAGCAGCCATTCTGTAGGTATCTCACCAGATTTGTATATGTTGTTAAAGAGTAAAGTTGTTGCACTTAAATTATCTTCGTCTATAAGTTTAATCAGCTCGATATGAACTTTATGTAGCCCAGATCTTCTTCTTCTTCTTCAGCCTGTGTTCGTCCACTGCTGGACATAGGCCTCTTCCATTTGCTTCCATCGATTTCTACTTTTGGCAATTCTCATCCACTGCTTGCCCGCGACTTGTTTGATATCGTCTGTCCACCTCTTCTGCGGTCTGCCTACTCCTCGCCTGTTCACTCTTGGTCTCCAGTTTGTTAATCTTTGTGTCCATTTTTCGGGGTTATCTCGGGCAACGTGTCCGACCCATTGCCACTTGAGCCTTGCAATACGTTCTGAGACATCAGTAATTTTTGTTCTTTCACGAATGACGTTATTTCGAATCCTGTCTCTCAAACTAATCCCTAGCATGGCCCTCTCAGCCCAGATAAAGGCCAATAAAGACAAAAAATATCCTAGCTAAAAAACATTCGCGACTCGACCGGGTTAAACACAGAGACGCCCAAAGAAAAGCAGAAGATAGAGACGAATTTGCAATGGTTATAGCCAATCTTCATTAGTGGAGACGGCACTAGAAGAAGAAGAACATATCATATTATTATATTATTATTATATTGTTACTAAAAGTAATAATATATAGTTTTTTTACAACTTAGGTTGCATCACAGGTTATACAAATGTAGTTACAATTGATGTCACTTATAGTTACAATTTCCATGACATCAACCTTTTGTTTTTGAGTTAAAATATTCTTATTTTGATGTGGATGATGAAGTGTAGAAATCTTTTGAAATATATTTTATGGCCGAGTTTTCAGATTTTTTACATTCAATCTAAGCTCAAAGCAATACGGTTTAGATTCTTTATATTATTGTTTATTCAATAATTTTTTATACGATGTAGCTGTAATAGAAACTTTTATAAAATATGTTAATTTTTTTTAAGAATATAAGTAAAAATTTAATAAATACATCATATTACTTATAAAGTTGTATTAGTAAACTTCCTTAAAAGATTTTAACGGTACACGCTGCTTACTTAAATTAATATTTTAAAACTGGATTTTATACAGGGTCACTACATTCAGTATATATTTAGAGATTGTCTGCGCTAAACGTTTAAGAGCTCTGAGCAGCGTATTTTCCTCAAAAATAGTTACAACAAAAGAGGTTGTGTTAATAAATAGTTAATTAATACAATTTGACATTTTGTTTATTTTAATTTGTATGTAGTATATCTAACATTTTTAAATTAAAATTTAAAGAATCTTGTATACTTATAAGACATGTCAAGTACTTATATACTTGAAGTCTTCAGAATTAAGTTAAAACATTTTATGGTGAACAACGTTTTTACGAGAAAACGCGACTTTTTGACGTAAAAACGTGACGTTTGACGTAAAAACGTGAGGTTTTGACGTAAAACGTCACGTTTTGACGTAAAAACGTGGCTTTTTGACGTAAAAACGTGACGTTTTGACGTAAAAACGTGACCTTTTGACGTGAAATGTGATGTTTGGCATTTACGACAGGGGGTAGGGATTGCGATTTAGGGGCTGTGTCAAGATAGTTGTATATCTTATAGAGAGATTCGATATAACAGAACAGAAATACCAAATAATTATCCTATAAGTGAGGATTTATGATATGCTAAAATGGACACGAACACGATATGAAAGGATCAACGTTTTCAACCAGGATGACAGAATTACGTGCTTTTTCTAAGAACAAGCAAAATAAGATAAAGAATTTGAATAAAAAAATGATTTCAGAGATGACCGAATACTGCATTTCGTGGCACTGTTTATCCCTTTACGTACATCCTTGATTAGTTTTACGCAAATGACAGAAAACCATAAACAATAATTATTTATCGTTCATGAGTAGATAATGCCTTTGTTACCCTGCTATTTAACCGTGAAAGTAAACAGATGGGTCTCATCGGTCTCTGGATTTGGGTTTGTCCACACTGGTGTGTATTTAATAATAGCCAATAAGCTTAAAATAACGATAACGCGCTAATGCTTACGAATTTAAATAAAAAGATCCATAAAGAGCTTTGATCGTGAGACATTGACTGCCTTTTAAGAACTCTTTTACAAACTAAACATTTACCGCAATAATTACAATGCTAGAGCTATCAAAAGATAATGCTGAACGTTTCATTATTATTTCCACAATTTTAGTTTAGAAAAGTCATATCCTCCTTCATCATATACGATATTATATTTGGTACCAAATGTCATTTATGGTCTTGGAAATAATTACAAAAATAAACATTAGCTTTATTAATTTTTTCATATCTGTACTATGTAAAGTGGTATATTTAAATCATTAACATATATTTTACTTAATTTTGAGGAAAATCAGCCTTTGTAAATCAAGCAAATGCAAGGTATATGAAAATCTATTCGGAACATTTAAGCGGTATTAAAGTAGAGATAGCCGTTGTACACAAAGTAGTCTTAAATAAGAAGCATTTACCATCAGCTGTTTTCTGTAATTTTATTACGTGTATTAGTAAATTTTCGTATAAAGTTAGATTTGCTTTATGGAACGTAATATCAAATTGCACTGGAAATGGTTATTTTTACTTAGAAATTGCACAAGTATACAGACCGATAGAACAATAAATAATAAAATGTACATGCTGTATATTTCAAAAACAAAGTATGTAAATTTCATTGTAATAGATACCTATTCACGCGTGTAAATTGGGAACATATATATCTCTCCATTCTTATACGCAAGGTTAAATATATTTTTATACAGATCTGTTTTTTCTCGTAGCTAATTATTGATTAGTCACTTACGCTCCTCGCCAGACCTAATGTTGATCGTCCCTTCCATCTCTATTCCTCTGACCCGTCCTTTCCCTTCTTCTCCACGAGTGTATTAACACGCCGTAATTGCCGTTTCAATTGTATGACAATAATTTTATTTTAATATTGTTCTGAAGCTATTTTCTTGTGGCATTGTAAATTAATTACTATTAAACTGGGAATAAGCCACAATTAAAGATAAAAATACGTTTATTGACGTTTCAATTTCCACTTCGGAAATCGTTCTCAAAATACAAACAGTAAATTGATATATTTAAAATTTACTGTTTGTATTTTGAGAACGATTTCCGAAGTGGAAATTGAAACGTCAATAAACGTATTTTTATCTTTAATTGTGGCTTATTCCCAGTTTAATAGTAATTAATTTTATTTTATTTTTGCAGGTACTAAACAGTGGGTCGTCGAGCTTGGCATCCAGGCCGTACCCACACGATTGGCAATTTGTTGTTATTGGCTTGAATATAACTTTATTTTGTTATTTATTTGTTTCAAATATATTTTATTTTGATTTAAATCTGCGTTTTATTAAGTCTGCTGTCTAAAAGTCTAATTTGCATCCGAAATATGTCAAATTCTGAACTCCTGTTAGTTTTACCGTTTATGGAGAAACAGTAATATAAATTATGATTTCAGCTGATTATCATTATTTTATTTTTATCTATATTAAGGCACACTCCAAAGAGCAGGGTATCATCAATGTATCCATAAATAATCCATCCGTCCTCAGTTTTCACTTTCACTTATCTAAATGTATGTTCAGAGTAAATCATAAACAGTAAGAGTGACAAAATAATTTCTTTTTAAACTTCTATCTGAATCCTTCATCTTAGATGCTGCTGCTCTGAAGAGTTCGATAGATGAGCATCTATACGATTTCCGCAAGTTGCACAGCCATGAAATTCTTCTCTTTCCTACAATTTCCCTTACCTGGATTTTTCCTTACATAATTAACTGAGCCTAACCTAACCTAACGTAACCTAACTCTTAAAATGCATTTGCAGATCCCTTGTACAAACCACCTTCCTCAGTTTGTTTAACTGCGGCGTTTTTCCATTAACGTTTATCTTTCATCGTTATTTTCTGATAATTTTGAAATCTTCATACATTTTGTTTTCTTGATATTTTTATTGAAATGATATATTTCTTTGCTTGACCAACTAGTTTGTTTATCAGTCTCTCCAAATCTTCGAAATGTTCTGCCAAAATAACAGTATAATCGCATCCTTTGCTTGACCAACTAGTTAGTTTATCAGTCTCTCCAAATCTTCGAAATGTTCTGCCAATATAACAGTATAATCGCATACCTAATGTTGTTAGGAGGTGTTCCATTGATCTTTATTCCAGCAATGTATCTATCAAGAGTCCTTCTCAAACTTTCTTTAGAGTCTGCATTGAA